AACAAGGCTAAGTACTCAACTTAGCCTCAGGGCTTGGGGTGCAAATAAATGCCAGTGCTGTGCGTGAGGTAATTTAATGTGGTTCTGACAAGTGTCGTCGGCATCTTCATTTCAAGTCACATGGGCGGCTTGCCACTCCCACCCGGTCACATGGGTGGCAAGCAACTCCCACAAAGGAGGCCACACCCACAGAGTAGGTTCAAACAATTTTTGAAACCCACCACTGCTTTGCGGAATAAACTACTAATTAAAAGTGAAGTTATCAAAAATATTTTTTTTAACAAACCTTGCAATCCACGGTGAGATGCATCCATTCTTCGTCCTGTCAGACTGTAATTTGCCATATATGGTGATAACTCTAGGTCATATAGTCATATATGTACAGTTTCAGGGTATGCAGAATATATGTGAACCCCATAATGGATAAAGGATAATACTTCAAAGCTCTGATTGTTTTATTTGCTTGTTTTTGGTGCAGCTTTTTTTTTCTTTTTAAAAAAAATATCCTTAACATCATGATATCTTCCATTGATAGCTGAGAGTGAACCAGGAAGTGATCAAAGTGGTTTCACTTGTGTTCTGTGCTATCTCAGTTTCTGGAGCTCTTGTCTTAGCCAAGATGGCAAAGGTTGTCCCAGTCTGTGTAACAATTTGGACAGTTCCACGTTGTGATCTCTGTAGTAATTTGAAAGGAATGCCCTAGACTGAGAATAAGGCAGGGTGGGGGGGGGGAATAAACTTTCAGATAGTTAACAATGTTTTAGTTACATGTTTCATTTCTGTAAAACATCCCATGACATAAAAGATAATTCCAAGTTCTGCATAAGGTTCACAAAGTTTAAGAAATACATGTATTTAACTATTCATAAAATTTTGAATTAACGATAAATTGATCACAGATTAATTATCTGAACTTATAGACCAACTGAATATAAAAAGAAGTGTGATTGTAATGTTTGAAGTATTGGATTAAGAGTGGGGAGACTCAAGTTTAAATTCATACTCAAACATGAACATTCAGTATAAACCCAATCTTATTCTAGGTTCTTATTGCAACACAAAGAATTCTGAACTCTCTATGCATGGTTTAGAATTTTTAGGAGCAAAAGCAGGATATAAAGCTAACGAATAATTTATCTTGCATAACCGTGTGCTTCAGAAGATGGGAATATCTAATATATATTTTTTTGTATTAAATAATGGTATACCTCTATAATCTCCAGGATGTTGAGCAAATAGGAAGAAATTGTATCATGCCAAGGAAAAGGCAGGAAAAAAAGAAAACTCAGTTTGGCTATTGGTGTCAAAATCTAAGATACTTTCTAACAGGTGTACAATGGTATACACTGATCTATTACCACATACACTTGTGGACAAGCCAAGAATTTTGGGTGCCACAATGCACCCCAAAATTGGATGTGGCTTATCTGCAGATGGGCTTAGCCACCACTTTTTTAAAAGTACCAATATTTTAAATATATACTCACATATAAACCTATCCATGAATAAGACTACCCTTAAATTTTTAATGCAAGTGCCATGAAAAATGCAGCTTATCCATGGTGGTGCATTTTTCATAGTATTTGCATTAAAAATTCAAGGGTGGGTTTATACGTGAGTATGTATGTATGTTATATCAACATCTGATTCCATACAATGTATTGAAAAAGGAGGTTATCTGGGAACAAACATTACCATTTGTTCAAATAATTATTTGGGGTTTTTATTTGTGGTAAATTAAGTATGAAAAGAATAATTGGTGTCCCATATTCACAATAAAAATAACACTAATCAGGAGCAACATTAAAAGTTGGGTATCTGTTGTGGCCTGGCAGGAGTCGTTTGAGCTGCCGCTATACTCCAACAGTGAGGGGTCTTATGAGTCAGCCCTGGAGGAGGTAGAGGACCCTAGACAGGGTTCCGACTCCGAGGAGGGCGAATTGAGACTGGTTGGCCACCAGGTGGCGTCTGAGCCTTGGATCAGTGGGGAGGAGACAAGAGTGAGTGATTAGAAAGATTAGATCCAGAAAACACCTGTGAGTTGTTCCGGGATGCACGCTGTCGAAGGGCTACTCAGCGTCAAGAAGAATGGCCTAATTACAAGAGGTGGTTGCGTTCAGCTGATGCTCATTAAGATCGTCTCCTGATTATAAAAGAGACTGCTTGTGCCACGCGTTTCTGCAGAAGTCAACGTTAAGGACTAACAAGAAACAATCTTGGCAGGCTGGATTGCTGCTAAGAGTTTGTTTGCATTGCTGCCAAGTTTTGTAGGACTTGCTGCCAGAGTGTTTATCTCTTTTGTTTATGTGGCTTGCAGCCAACAAGAGTCTTGACTGATTAAAAGAAACCTTCTCATTTATGTTGGTTTCGGCTTTCGTTCCTGGACAGAGGAGGGGGGTCAGAACAGGTATCCTAGACTTCCACGAGAAGCTTCTTCAGGTGGGAGAAGCAATTCCCAGCCTCCAAATCCTCTGGGCCTCATGGCCTTTATTTGTCCAGTTGAGCAATGAAAAGAGCACGAATGAGCAATGGTAATTGCAGAAAATACGACTTCAGCCACAGAGTGGTCAATACCTGGAATGCTCTACCTGACTCTGTTGTTACATCCTCACAACCCTCACAACCTTAAACTGTCTATTGTGGACCTCATCCCATTCTTAAGACGTCCGTAAAGGGGGCGTGCATAAGCGCACCCGCGTGCCTTCCGTCCCCATTTATTTGTATTCATTTCTTTCGTTCATGTCCATGTTTATATTCATACCTGTGATCTTTTCAATTTTTTACAAACTAATAAGTACAAATACAAATGCTCTGTGATGACTGTACAGATTACATCTGAAGGAAAAATACAAATAAAAGTAGAGCATCAATAATAAAAAGAGAAGTTGGATTAATAATTAATAATGGAAAATTATTGTTTGAACTCTGGATGATTGGTGATATTATGGTCAATTGAAAATATGAATGTATATTATAAATTAATGGGAATTCTTTGTTCTAATCTTCGCTTTTTCTCCTTGGAGATAGGTGATACTATAATACTTTAAAGACTCGTTGTTATTTGATAGATAATTATGAATTTAAAGAAACAAGGATTGTTACAAATGAAAGAATATTAATGGTAATTTGAACACATAATGCTCAATGACAGCGAGTTATGTTTAATGTAAATCAGTGATGTTAATCCTAAGCTTAAGAATTGGTGCACAAAAACTTTTAACCAAACGACATGCTTGATGAAATGGAGGAAAGTTGTTCTTTGTTCTTCTCTTGCTTTGTTTTGTATGTGTTGTTTTGTTTAAAAAGAATAGAAATATATTTTAAAAAAATAATAAAAAGAGAAGAAAAAAGAAGGCTCCTTGTCAAGTGCTCTTCCAAAATGTGGAGTTCATGCTGCTTACAGTGATGATATGGTTATTGCTAGGGTTGAACATCTTTTGAAAATTACTTGCAAAGGATGCTTCCGAATGTATGAAGGCCTGAGCCGTGCACTTCTTTAAACAGAATAAATCTTTTTTCAGTATCTTTTTCAGATACTGCATTTTGCACTCCCACACACCTCTTTTCAATGATTACGATACCGGTGCGTGCACACAGAGCCATAGTAACAATTTCCCCCTTTTCAGGCTTTACTAAGTTATTACAGTAAATAACAATAATGTTTCAATTAAAACAATAATGTTTCAATTAAAATAATACCTCTTGATCCATGGGAGGGTATTTTCGGCCTTTACTTTTCCCCAAACATTTTATTTTTCCTCCGTCCAGCAGCTGGCACCAAAATCCTTTCTGAGGATCAAACCTAAAATATTGCACAGGTAAAAGTGGGGATAGGAAGAGGACAAGAAGAGCCCACAACAAGCTATTTATTGCAGGAAATGGTCTTGGCAGAGAGTGGTTAATTTACTTTTCAAAGTTGGGGATGGATACATTTCAGTGGATTTCAGAATGCACGTTAGGGAATAAACCAGAGGCAGTTCCTGCTATTGAATATATTGTTGTGGGACCTGTGACATACTTAGAAGAGTGAAAAGGCAGCTGTAAAAAACACTGAGAAATTTAATTAAATTTGGCAGATGCCTTGGAAGGCCAATGAATTATTGGTTGGAGTATAGCAATAATGAGCTTGCTCCCACTTTTTTTTCTTTTTTGCCTTGGGCTTTTTCCAATAATAGCAATATTCCTATATATATACACTCACGACAGCACATTTTAGACAAAAGAGAAATTACTTTTCCAACTCAGTCTATTACTGCATTAATCCTCACCGCCCAAATAGTCTTTAGTAGTGGTATCAATTAAAACTAAATAAATCATTGATTAAATGAATATGATGAGAGGAGTTCACATCCAGCTTTGGATTTGCCAATCTTCTTTGTGCATAGCAAAGGCCTTTTGCTGGTTTTCAGTAATTTCCCAAGAGGAGAAATAGTATTGCTTGCTGTGCACCAGAAAAGAAATGAAGCTGTAGGATTAGATTGCAAACAATATATTTGTTTCCAAGAAATATATTTGGAACAAAATGTTTAATTGGCAATAATTATTTCTTTGGTAGACTTTTTTTTTTTGAAGAATGTAGATGGAATTCACTACCATTTAGGCTCGTTTATATATTTCACTAGGCATTGGGCTAACACACTATGAAGTTATTAAAAGGAGCTTGTTTATTATGCTCTATAGAATCCTTTGGTCACATTATATAAGTTGGAATATTAGCTGTTAGAAAGTAGTTTTTTTTTTTCTTTAGGCAGATAACAACAGCTGTATATTGTTTCTAATTTCAGTGTCCATTTCTATAGCCATTTGAAATAAGAAAAATGTGAATATGTTACAAAAAAAAAACGATCACAGCTAGGCAGCCCCTTATCTTCATATTTGCGTGACCCGCCAAATGCGCGCATGACAAAAGCGCGCCGACAAAACCGCGGAGAGAAAACCGTGACGTCAAAATCGCAACCACAAAAGCGCGATTAGGGTTAAGGTAAGGGTTAGGGTTAGGGTTAGGTTCAGGGTTAGGTTTAGAGTTAGATTTAGGGTTAGGGTTATTACGTTGTTTTCGCGTTGTTTGTTGAAGGCACGCTTTTGTCGGCGCGCTTTTGTCGTGCGCGCATTTGTCGGTGAACCCATATAGCAATAGCAATAGTTAGACTTATATACTGCTTCATAGAGCTTTCAGCCCTCTCTAAGCGGTTTACAGAGTCAGCATATTGCCCCCAACAACAATCCGAGTCCTCATTTTACCCACCTCGGAAGGATGGAAGGCTGAGTCACCCCTGAGCCGGTGAGATTTGAACAGCCGAACTGCAGTCAGCTGAAGTAGCCTGCAGTGCTGCATTTAACCACTGCGCCACCTCGGCTCTTGGGGGCGGGGTTAGACTAGCAGACCTCCAAGGTCCCTTCCAACTCTTATTATTTCGTTATTTCATTAGTACGTAATTCCATTATTCCATGATTCCATAATTCCATAATTCTGTTATTCCATTGTTCTGTTATTCAGTTATTCCATTGAGAGAAGAGATTGGATTG